AACTTTGTGTCATAATTATGGAAAATATCCATGCTGTTGTGATTTAGCGTTGGTATTATTTTGAATTTTTGTAAATTAGAAGATTACACTTTTGAACTTTTGTTGTCATTTAATTTTTTTAGTCGCTGAATCTGTGGTAAGACAGAAGCAGTTTCTCTGTCCTAAAGTACCGCTTAAGGTTAGATTGTTGTTCGAGAAGGAGAAGAATTTTCAGAGTTTGGATTTTGGATCATTACTACTCGATGGGTCACACAAGAATAAGAGGATTGTTAAAAGCTCAGATCCCACATCACAACAGGCTGGTGAAACAGGAGAAACTCGCCCTGGAGAGGGCTCAGGTAACAGTGTTAACTTTGAAGGCCAAGAATGCGCGGATATGCAACCGCAACAGTACGAAACGACGCCGAAGTTCTTCAGTCTGTTTGTTTGTCAAAGCACATGACAAAGAATTACAGAAAATCGAAAATAATTATGAAGTAAAATACACAGGGATGTCATCAACGACAAAGTTACCGTTGCACCAACTAAACAATGTAACACTGAAAAATTCTTTGAGGGATGTGAAGCTTTCACTACCCTTTATCAAAATGTGCATAAGTGCATGAAGCTGGTAGAATTCATTCCCAGAGACCAAAAGTCACCTGTTTACGTTAGGCAACGCATCCGAGACGTAGGTAAGGCACAACCCTTACTAATTGAGATCTGTGAAGACCGAAAGCACTTGAAAGTCTACGGTGAAGAAAGTTTTGTCGAGAAATTTCTAGGCGATCTCCGAAAAGAGGGTCTGCTTGGTCGGACAACATAGGAAGCTGGGCCTTGGTGCAGAGATGGAACATATGAGATGACGTAAATTATGCATAAATTGGCGATTTTTTTAAATATTTCCATAAGGTCGCAATAATAGCAAGTATACGTATGATGCACGATCCTTCGCAGTAGATAGCGCTATTTATGCAATAGCGAAAATCAGACCTGAAAAAAATCAGGCCTGTACGGGATTCGAACCACTGACCTCTGCGATACTAGTGCAGCGCTCTACCAATTGAGCTAACAAGCCAACTGGGAGCAGGCCGTTAAGTTGATTCAANGTTGTGATTTAGCGTTGGTATTATTTTGAATTTTTGTAAATTAGAAGATTACACTTTTGAACTTTTGTTGTCATTTAATTTTTTTAGTCGCTGAATCTGTGGTAAGACAGAAGCAGTTTCTCTGTCCTAAAGTACCGCTTAAGGTTAGATTGTTGTTCGAGAAGGAGAAGAATTTTCAGAGTTTGGATTTTGGATCATTACTACTCGATGGGTCACACAAGAATAAGAGGATTGTTAAAAGCTCAGATCCCACATCACAACAGGCTGGTGAAACAGGAGAAACTCGCCCTGGAGAGGGCTCAGGTAACAGTGTTAACTTTGAAGGCCAAGAATGCGCGGATATGCAACCGCAACAGTACGAAACGACGCCGAAGTTCTTCAGTCTGTTTGTTTGTCAAAGCACATGACAAAGAATTACAGAAAATCGAAAATAATTATGAAGTAAAATACACAGGGATGTCATCAACGACAAAGTTACCGTTGCACCAACTAAACAATGTAACACTGAAAAATTCTTTGAGGGATGTGAAGCTTTCACTACCCTTTATCAAAATGTGCATAAGTGCATGAAGCTGGTAGAATTCATTCCCAGAGACCAAAAGTCACCTGTTTACGTTAGGCAACGCATCCGAGACGTAGGTAAGGCACAACCCTTACTAATTGAGATCTGTGAAGACCGAAAGCACTTGAAAGTCTACGGTGAAGAAAGTTTTGTCGAGAAATTTCTAGGCGATCTCCGAAAAGAGGGTCTGCTTGGTCGGACAACATAGGAAGCTGGGCCTTGGTGCAGAGATGGAACATATGAGATGACGTAAATTATGCATAAATTGGCGATTTTTTTAAATATTTCCATAAGGTCGCAATAATAGCAAGTATACGTATGATGCACGATCCTTCGCAGTAGATAGCGCTATTTATGCAATAGCGAAAATCAGACCTGAAAAAAATCAGGCCTGTACGGGTTTCGAACCACTGACCTCTGCGATACTAGTGCAGCGCTCTACCAATTGAGCTAACAAGCCAACTGGGAGCAGGCCGTTAAGTTGATTCCTAATAAACCCGTGAGGATAAATCAGATACAATGAATGTATGAAGTTCATATATTTTGAACTGCGGTATTAAATACGTATTATGCACGATCCTTCACAGTAGATAGCGCTATCTATGCAGTAGCGAAAATCAAGTATGATAGATATTGCAAGTAATCAAGTATGATAGAATAGCAAGTATGATAGATATTGTAAGAAATATACAACTTTTTTGAAAGACATGTTTCGGCATGCATACGCCATCTTCAGTTAATGAAGTAATTCAAAAGCGGGTACTAATTACAACGTGACACCAAAACATAAAGATGTAAACTAGAACGCTAGAAAAGTGTTATAAAGCTGTAATTGTTCGTTAAGTTCAGGGTTTGATCTTATTTATATAAAAAGCTTCTTTGAGTTTTAAAGTAACGTGTATTATTGTCATCATTAATGTTCCGGCTTTTTTGAGAGGGAGACCCGTCAAGATGCCGCTTGAAAGTTCTGTCAATAATATGCGAAGGACAAGAATTACGTTTTAAAGTGTCGGAAAGTTTATTAAGATCGTTTTGAAGGCCGGAAGAAGTGTTGTTGATTTTTGTAGATTCGGTCAATAAGAGTTCGGATAAGGCCAAATTTATAGCATGATGGAGTGAAACTAAAAAAATTTGGTTGAAGACCAGTGTAGGTTTTTTTTTTATGAAAAACTGAAAAAACAGAATCACTGGAAGGGTTGTCCATAAATATATCAAGAAAGGAGAGGCAGTTTGCCATCATTCCCTTTCTCGAAAGTGAATTTTATGTTAGGGTGCCGCGAATTAATGTATTAAAAAAATGACATAGCATCCTGTTCATTGTGAAAGACACAAAAAGTGTCGTCAACATAACGCCTTTAAAGTAGAGGGTGAGTCGAATGGTTAAAATTATTTAGCCATGTTTCCTCGTGGAAACCAAGAAAAAGATTAGCTAGGATGGGTGCTAACGGAGAACCCATCGCTACGCCATCAACTTGATCATAAAATTTTCCATTAAAAAGAAAACGAGTCTCGGCTGTAGCGAATGAAAACAATTTCTTCAGGTCGGATTTTTTGATAGAAAATTTAGAGTCATGCTTGAAAATAAGATCAACGGCAATATCGGTAGTTTCATTTAGCGGAATATTGGTAAATAGACTTTCAACATCGAAGGAAATTAGAAACTTGTTGTTAAAATCGAAACTCCTGAGCTCTTCAACAAAAGCGGAGTGAATCTTTGACCGAATACTTACTAGGTAAAAGTGGAGCAAAAAGATATATTTAAAATACCCCTCTTTAGATGTATTTAGATATATTTAAAATACCCCTCTTCTGTGGAACCTGGATTAAGCAGTCAACCTGCATTAACCGGTCGCCCCGCCATTCCCTGTGGATGGTTGCTTGATACAGGTTCGACCGTAGTAATTTGGGTGTTTTATTTTAATTTGACAGACTACCTTAAGAGAATCAAGGAGGAATTGGCTGCAAAAGGAATCCGCTAGTTTACGAAAAGTATCTGCTCTGCTTTGAAATCTAATTTCACTTTTGAAGGGTTTTGTTAGAGATGTTATTGAACTGCGGTGGATTGCATCTCCTATATGACAAAAATGGTTGACATTCATAGTTTTCATGCAACATGGTCGTTGAATTATTACGTTCGCTTTGTGTACAATCAAGTGTTACGAAGTCGAGGAAATAACTTGTTTCAGCTTAATAACAATGTGAAAGGGTAGAGAGAATTTTTTGAGTAACAAATTTAATGAATGGTGATACCTGACCCATTTAAGTTGATTATAAGAATCTAGTTCTAGTTCTGTTTCGCAGAGATAAAATAGAGGTTAACTTCAGTGGCCTATGAAGAGGTCTGTCATATATTTACAAATCATAATATACACCACCTTAAAGCTTTATCCTTGTATTTTAATTGCTCCAATATAATTCTCTACTTGGCCTGCTATAAGCGACGCATCCAGGTTTAAAATAGTTTGGGCCATTTCGTATAAAATGCGGTGCTAACCGCTGAACTGCTGTCACGACCCATTTAAAGGCCTTTGAAAGGTCTGGTATGATATATTTTGAAATCAAAATATACATTATCGTTAAGCTTTATCTTTCTAGTTTAATGCCTCAAAGTTTCATTCTTGGTCCGTCTTAGACGGCGCTTCGAGTTTGAAAAGAGTTTGGGCTAGATAGAGAATTGGAGGAATTAAAATATAAGGATAAAGCTTTAAGGTGGTGTATATTATGCAAGATTTGTAAATACATATGGCAGACCTCTTCATAGGCCACAGAGGTTGACCTCTATTTTACCTCTGCGAAAAAGACGCGAAGTACTTTATTTCAATGGGTCACTATTCAGACTTAAACATAACAACATAACAAGAAATTAATATTTTCCAAGAGATAAAAGGACCATATGCTAGCACAAAAATGTAGAAAAAGAGATTACATCGCGTTGTAACTTGCAAAATTGCCGAAGTTGCATAATTTTTCACTGCTTTACGAGGGAGACAACAGCTATCTAGGCGTATTTTGAACTTTTCAATTTTTTGGAGAAACAAAAGCGCGATAGAACTTTTTGATAAAATTTTCGAAAAAGGTTCATTAAAAGGGTCCTCTAGAAAATGAATTACGAAATTTTGCCACTGTCGGCGGATTCTCGGTATTTATGGTCAATGGCTCTTAATTTGTTAACCAAAGGATGGAAAGAACAGCTACCTAGCTGTTACCTAGTTATCTCAAAGGTTTCGTTTAGTTTAATTTGGGCAATATTCCTCGCGCCACGCTAGTTTTTGTGAAGAGCAACCGTGAAGACCGAGGGGTCCTGGGTTCAAGCAAGCTTGGAGCTTTCGGTTTTCCGAGAAGTGGTCATGATGAGCTCTGTGCCGTGACGTGTCTTCCAGCGTATGAAAGCCATGGCTCAAGCGAAGAGCGTGTTAGATGATATCAAAAAGGAACTAGAATGCCCGGTGTGCCAAGAGCAATTCAGTGGGAGCAATGAGCCGAAAATTCTAAAATGTCAACACACGTTTTGTAAATCCTGTCTTAACGGCTGGCTACGACAGCATGGCGGAGGAAGATTGAGCTGCCCGAAATGTCGAGTGATTACCGAATGTTCCACCAACAACATTGATTGCTTGCCAACCAACCTTGCTTGTAAAAATCTAGGAGATATCTTAAAAACTCACAGTGGCTGGGATATCAGATCACTACAGGAGAATTTATGCAAGTGCCATAGGAAAAGTCTTGAATATTACTGCGAACATTGCCAGATTTGCATATGCTCTGACTGCGTCATTGTCGAACATCGGGATTCGAACAATCACAAGATCTTGTCTGTAGAAGAAGGAGCGAAGATACAGGCAGAAATTATCACAGAAGAACTGAGATCTGTTGAAGCGAACACTTCGCATTTGATGAGCGATATTGCTACTTTAGTGGAAAGAAGAGAGAAATTTAACACTGGTATAGATCAGGCGACGATAGAGGTCCGTAACGTGGCTGAAAGGTGCATATATTTGATTCACCGACATGAAGCAAGCGTGACGGAGCAGCTGGCGAGGGAGAGATCGCTTAGCGATGATGCTATTTCCCAGGAGTTGTTGAAGCTGACTGAGAAACTGGAGAAAATGACTAGCGCTGCTATTCGTGGTAGAGCGATTCTTGAAAACCATAACATAGACGAAATGATAAATATAAAACAAGTTCTCGATGAATTGATCTCAGAGAAAGTCACACCAGCGCTTAAATATCCAGATTTAAAATACACCTCATATGCACTCCCTCGAAATTTCACCACAGGGAAGCTGTTAATAACTCGCACGGAACCTTCTTTGAGTGTCGCCACTGGTGAAGGCCTGACAAAGGGTAAACGGTCAGAAGAAGCTAATTTTACCGTGACAACAAAGGATGCAAAGGGTCAGACAACTTACAGCGAAATGGACAAGGTCATTGTTGAGGTTACTTCTGTACGGAAGGGAATAAAAAACATTTCAGTTGTGGTGAAGGACTTGAAAGACGGACGTTATTCTGTTTCTTACACACCGAATTCTTTTGGCGAATTCAGGGTTTCAATCAAAGTACGAGATGAACCAATTCGCGAGAGTCCCTTTAAACTGTTCATTCACAACAACCCGAAGCAAGACTTCCTAGACTGGGCTTCTAAATTTCATGGTAAGTCAGAGAAATGATATAACCGCTAAATCTTGTTTAGAACTAAAGACTTCAACAATGACTGTTAGCCTGCTTCATGTCATTTAAAGACGTCGATACACTTCCTTTCACTACTGATTAACGCTTCGGCGTGCTTTCGAATTCAAGTTTCAAGCTATCTCATGAGTCATAATGTGAAACTGTTCTCGGTCATGCGTGTTCCCAAAAGATCCTATTAAAGGAGAATATTATGAAGGGTTATTGGATTTAGGCTGGGTAGCTAAACTGAGTAGCCTTAATTTATCTTTAGGCCCAGAGTTATCAAATCTGCAGTTAAAAGAAACTCAAGGTAAGGAGCAGACAGTCCATATCCTTCACAATAACAGAATTAAATAATGAATTTTTGAAAGTACGGATTTTGACAGCAACTTTAAGCCTGTTTCGGGCCATTTCAAAGACGTAGATACCCTTTTCGCCACTGATTAGTATAAAGGTGTGCTCTCTAAGTAAACTTTCAGGTCACCTCATAAGAGGCTTGTCACCTGTCTAACAAGTAAAACCTAAACCACTGGGTAGTGAAGTTGAGTTGGTAAGATCAACATTCGTTAGCTTCTGCAGTAGTTGGTAATGATTCACCACGTCGAAGGCCTTGCATAAGCCGGAAACGCGGTACGTGTGTAGCATCCAGCATCCATATTCTCACGTGAGGCGTAAGTAGTCCAGTGGAGAGGGCGCTGGACTCTGGGTCGGACGGCCCAGGTTCACGTCCTGGCTGGGGCACTACGTTTTGGCCTTAAGCAAGTCGCTTCACTCACATTGCTTCGTCTTCTCAGATAAGACGTAAAGCCGTAGGTCCCGTCTCCTGCAGGGTTTGAGGCTCTCTAACCAATTGAGCTAACCGCCTCCCGGTTAGCTCAATTGGTTAGAGCGCCGGATTGTGTTGTGCGGGAGGTCGAGGGTTCGAGCCCCGGCCGGACCAATACTCATGGTCTTAAAATAAGTGAGGAGAATTTGCTACCTTTCTATAATATCAAGAAATGGATAGATATTCTAGTCTTCTCGGATAAGGACGAATAAACCGTAGGCCCCGTCTCCTGCAGGGTTAGGGGTAGGAGACGTTAATTTCCCACGCACGAGATTACTGTGTGGTGGATGTCCTCCCCTGGGGTGGGATGGGAGGGAAGGTGAGATCGTTACATGGACTGAAGCGGCTGCCAGAGGCGCCTGATAATGCTGACGTCCGATCTCAACCTTATCATTGTAACTAGACACGTTTGTTGTTTAGAGTGCTTAAGACTTTCTTACTTTCTTTCTTTCTAACCAATTGAGCTAATGTCCTCATGGGACATTAGATGGGTGGGAAGGTGACATTAGATGGATGGGTGGGAATGGGAGATCGCTACATGGACTGAAGCGGCTGCCGAGGGCGCCTGATAAAATGCTGACGTCCGATCTCAACCTTACTACATTGAGGCTGAAAAGCCCCTTTAGGGGAGCTTCAATTAACGTCGCACTGTACCAGTTGATAATTTCGATTTTAACTCAACAATTTTGGTTGTTAGGAACCCGTTGTGCATGAGATAAGTGCATAGCTGGGTGTGTGCGGCTTCTTCTTTCATATTGCTTATCGTTGGCGAGACGGTAATAGGCCTGTTATTGTTTGCGTCGCAACACCACTTTCGCAAAGAGGAGAAAAAGTGCGAATTACAGGAAAACAAACAAGTGAATAAAAACAAACAATTGAAAACAAACAATTGAATAATCTAGTAAGACTGTTGCTAGTCAAGGAGGCTGTGTTTTTCATAGGCGCGCAATCATGTCAGCTAGGTTATGAGTTTTTTTATTTGAGTATACACGAAATGCCTCTAAGAGTTAAGTATTTGCGTTAGCTTAGGCCCAGTAGTTTAAAAGAAGTCATGCAGAATGTGATTGTCTTTTTGTCGAACACCGTGGGTTTCTCTTCAGGAAGTGGGATTAGTTTTTACATGTATGATGTTATGTCAATAACAGTCACATTGGCCTTGGGATGTAACCTGATATCGCTAACAACTCTGTAAAAACGTCTCATGCATGTAACCGAGAAATTTATCGCATGGACTGAAGAAAACAGAAAAGGCGCATGCAGAGTAAGTTTAAAGGTAGCGGTGCTTTCAATAGAACTCATGCGAAATAGCATTTTGTACGGTTAGTCCATTTTAGGGTTGTCCATTTGGATAGTCCGTTGGGGCAGTCCATGGACTGGGGGCCAGCTTTTTGTCCCTCACCCGCTTTTTTCCCTTAGTTATGACTACCTTCTGGTATATAACTTTGGCAGAGAACAAACACACTTAATGCTTTGTGTTGTTTATGAACTCTTGTGTAACATGTCTAATGCGCGCACCGAAACTTATGTGCGTCAACACTTTTTCCTGCTTTAAGCTAAGGCGCACTAAATGCAAGAGCTGAACAAAGGAACGTCTCGATTTTGAAACCAAATACATTTCGGCATCCGTCAGTTATGGGGTCGTAATGACATCCACAAAAATTGCAATCTGATTACTATTTTTTTTATTTGGAACTGATATAGACGCAGAGAGAGGGTTGAGCCAACCCCATACCTTTAAAAACAGTACCTTTACTGGCAGACCCCTATATCAAAGAAAATCTTTCAGATCAGAGGAAAAGAGAAGAGCTGCACTGGGTGAGGTGAGTCCACTTTCATAGAAAGTGCATGTTCCATGTGGTAGAGGTGTCCCTCAATGAAGGCAATAGGCACAAAAGTTCCTTGGGCATTTTCTTCTCTTGGATGAAAGTTGTTATCCCTGGAATAGACAAGCCGGCTGTAGGCGGTTCAGAAGAGGGGACCAACTTTGATTTGAAAATGGACACTGAGGATCATGGTTTCCTTGTAAGCCCATACCTCAGTATGCTCACCTTACAGTCTCATGTATCGATTCAACTCAATCGGAATCATACCCCCAAAATACGTTAGCACTGCGTAGCTGTAATAAAATGTGACATGGTTAGATGCTATTCTTGTTTAAAGATTTAATGAATGTAACCGGGGGAAATTACAATTCATCGACCCAACGTTGCGACACTCCTATTTAGTGCATTCATCAGGGGTGATCTGATCGTTGCAACAAGAGGCCCTTTAATATGCTCACTAATTAGCTGCCCTTCTTTTCTGACGAGGTGTAAGTAGGCGTCAGGCAGTAAGCCGCCATCATCACGATTTAAAGCAGCGTGGGCGCGGTTGATATGTTAAGCTTCCAAACAAGGGCGCTGATGCTAGCGGTGGTTAGTGGTGATGATTTTAGAATTATCCCACCAAATTGTATGGTTAGTTACTCATGTTTGCTCCGATAAAGCTGAATTTTCTTTTTTGCAAAAGAAGACAGGTTTTTGATGCTCTTTTAAACGTGTACCAAACTGTTCGTCTGTATTGGTCTGTCCGATATACTCGTGATTGCAGTCATTGCATGGAATAGAATAATTAGCTTCGGTTCGTTGTTCTTTCGTAACAGGATCCTTAGGTGCGCGAAAATATTTCCCAAGGTCTGAAAAGTTTTTCGAGCAACTTTAACATTGTGGCTATTCAAAATTCCCCTGATGGGCTCAGTAACACCCCGGATGTAAGGTATAACAGCAAAACCAGTCGCTGATTCCTTCTCGTCAGGAGTGTTACCAGTTGTTACTGGTTTCTAACAGTTACGGGGAATTGTTTTGGTATAGCCACCTGCCTTTAGGACTTCGGAAACATATTTTTCTCCTCAACCTTGGAATCAAGTGAAGACGGTAGACAGTCAGCCTCACTCACCCCTCCTGAGTAAGGTTTTGACTACGGAATTTTGATGGTAAATAGGGTGGTGAGAGTCTAAAGCGAGATATTTGTCGGTGTGGGTCGTTTTACAATAAACACTAGTCTAAGTTCCCTTGTTCCCCTCTACGCACATTTAAATCAAGAAAGGGCAAGTGTCTATCCTTTTTACGCTCAAGGGTGAATTGGATAGACGGTTCCACTGAATTCAAATGCGATAGGAGGCGTTCTGGATACGCTGAAATGGCATCATCACCTTATCGTTTCCAGAACAAGGGTGTAACCTGTAAAGTGGCTAAAGCCCTTTGTTCTACATCTTCTATTACCATATTGGCGATGACAGCAGAGACGGGCGAACCAAAGAAAATATATTTATATTCAATGATTGCTATGGCTCATAAGGTTAGAAGTGCCCACCTCCTTAAAAATCATCCAGAACTTTTCACGTTTTGACAGTTTCAAAATCAAGACACTCATCAAAACAACAGGAGACAGCGAGACGACGCTTCAAGAGAACCTCCCTCTCCTCAAGAGCCTACCTCTGTGACATCAGCCCAGTATGGATCACCCATTCCCGAGCAATGCACAATCGAAGTAACCGGTTTGCCAGAAGATGCATCTGAGGATTTGGTGACAATCTACTTCGAAAACACCAGACGTTCTAAGGGGGGTCCTGTGTCTTCCGTAGTCATGACACCCGAACTTCGGAAGTGCCTGGTCACCTTTGAATCTCCTGATGGTAAGAATGAATGATGATAAATCATTACATTATTATATGTTTTGGTTTATTCTTAAAACGTTTTGGTAACGGTTTAAACCTTTTTTAGATGCAGAGCGGACGATAAGTTATTCATCTCATGTTTTGAGCGGAGCAAGTATACAAGTCTCACTGTTTGAAGAGGAGGAGGAAAGTGCCGTCGATTCCGGTGAAAACGGAGAAGACGAAGAGGAGGAAGACGGCATCACCATTATTGTCAGCGGCATCATGCCCTCCACCTCAGAGGATGCAGTGATCTTCTACTTTGAGAATTCTAGACGATCAGGAGGAGGCGATGTCTCCGAGATCCATTTCAACGAAAAAGGGGAAGCGATCATAACTTTTTCTGAGGTTAAAGGTAAACGACACTTTCTTTGAAAAGTCTCCAATTTGACAGATTTATTGATAAGTTCAGGTCTTTCTTGAGAAAAGGAAGTCAAGTTCAAATGATGCATATGATAAAATGTCAAGTAAACGTTCTTAAGCGTAATCGCTGTCTCTGAATATTTTGATTACATTAATATTTTTAACTTTGATATTTATTACAGACCTGCAGCGCCTTCTCGAGGAGTCACACAAAATTTACGGCCAAATGATAACAGTGGTAAGACAGCCTCCTTCGAAAAAAGTGCCGCTTGATCCATTAAGAGTTCATGTTCAAGGAATCAGCGAAACGACCACCATAGATTGTTTGACCTGTTATCTGGAAAAGTTTGTTGATGTTGAGGTTGAAAATGTGTATCTTGGTGCAAAGAATAATGCCCTGGCAGTTTTTGAAAGTGAACCAGGTAATTTTATGACTACAAAGGTTTAGTTTATAGTACTTGAATTAGATGACATTTTCATGGCTATCTTGTTTTTGAAGTCGATTCATATGCAAAAAAAAGTGGTTAGTAGTATGAGTATAAAAGAAAAATAAAAGAAGCAACATGAATGAACAATCAGTTACAACTCGAAATTTAGAGTGTAATAATGACTTTAGAGTGTTGTTACGGCTTAGTCAATCATTTTCAAACATCCTTAACCCTTTTTTCGAAACGTTGTCATACTTGTATAATTATACTTGTACTTAGGACGATACTTTTCTTCGCCACTTGCACCAAGTCCTTGTTCTGGTCAATACATCTATCTAAAGTTGCACGTTACATAAGGAAACACCGATCTTCACATTTTGTGTGTTGTGTTAACCAAAATCTTTACACCGCTAATTACACGAGTGGCAATATCACTGTTCTGCACGGATTATCTATTTCAGACTTTGAATCACTCTTGCATAAAGTTAACAAAGATAAAAAAGGCTTGGAGGGAAAGAAACCGCGCCTGGAAAGAGTAGCAGTCTGTTCATGTATTCTGGTCACGGGACTGAAGAAAGAGTCAACCGATCACACCATTGAGCTTTATTTTGACAATGAAAAACGAAGTGGTGGGAAGGATGTCTACAGAGTGGAAAGGATTAGGAAAGACCAGGCCTTAGTCTATTTCGAGGATCATACAAGTAAGAAATATGTATTGGTGTATTAAAAAGTCTCTCTGTTTTCTTTTTTCTGCGTGTTGTTTTCCTATTGCTATCACATTTTAACATTGGGGTTTTGCTACGAACTTTTCAGTTTATCTAAAACATTGTGTTTAAGGAAAACTCAAAGCCACTGTTTAGTAGATTCCTTCGGGATACTCTCATGTGATAGCTGATTTATCACTTGGAGAGGGAGGGGAGAGGTGGGATTGGAGAATTTCAGTGATTTCAAAATGAGATGTATCTGAACCCCCCCCCACCAACCCCATTGAGCTCTGCAGTATTCTCATAATCCTCCAAAGGTAAGCTATGATTTTCATGATCCCACTTCCATGGTATTGACGTGCAGATACCAATCTTAAACTGACCTAACCCCCGAGACTCCCCCTCTCAGCTTTTTTTTAAATGAGGCAAGAGGATTTTATCTGGGTAACTGTTCACTCCTGTAGCTGTTCATTTCTCTTGGAGGTATATTTGTTGTGAATCTGGTGAAAATCAGCCAGTAGATATGGGAGATATTAAATAACAAGTTGGTTATGGTTTAAAGGTTTGACATAATGTAATATGAATTGGTAATACCTTGATTTCGAGTGCAATTTGGTGTTGATGAGCATGAGTATATTTTTCAAAGAAAACAAAATAAGGAATGCTAAGAACTAACCATAGCAAGGGTGTGAGGTTGGAAAGAAAGCGTACTTTTGGTAAACTGCTCTCTACAAGACTGATTACCCTACTGAATAGGATGTTGTATAGTGCAGGCTTTGTTTTTTGTATGGCACCACTTTGTCTGTTTGTTTGTCTGTTGATTGACAATACTCAAATAATACTGAAGAGTGTCTTTCACTCAGGAGTTCATGATGTCATTGCAAGAAGCCAGAGACAGGCCAACGCCCTTGACGGCGCTATCTTGGAAGTGACGCCGTACTACCCTTTCCTGGGAAACGGAGATGACGTTCAATCTAGAAGTTGATACCATGAATACATTAATCCCGGTTTATCCCAAGGTAAACTGCTACTTGAGGAGCGCAGAGTGGCTGAATTCCTACATGGCTCGATAGTCACGATTTCACCCTCGGGAAGGGACCCTTCATCAGAAGAACGAACTGAGAAGTTCAAGAGTTTCCTGCCTATCCCTAGGAAGTGTGATGTTTCTGTTCCTCCCGAAATATTTGTCGAGATCTCAAAGCCCTGGCAAGAACTAACTTTCGAGAAAGAAAAAGCAAATGGTCAGGTATCGTATGACCATAGAAGGTTGGGCTTCAAAACATTTTAGAACACTTAGAACACAAAGCGCAAAAGCTGCAATACTTGAATCTTAAAGTTGAGGACAACTCAGAACTGGTAAGCCAGGTTTGCAGCTTAACTGGTCAGAACAAGGTAGTTAAAAGCCAAAATTATTTTGTTGGAGATTTCTGGAAAGAAAAGAACATTCTCCCAAAAGCAGGATTTGTCCTCAAGAGCTCAGAGCTTCAACCCTTTGCATGGCTCTGTTTGCTTTCCGTCAGTTGTTTTTCCTCTTTCTTTACACGAGAACTTTTTTGGCAGCCGAAGTCGTGAAGCTATTTTGATAAAATTGAGGCACGAGTTAAGACTGTGACGACCCAAAAATGTCATAATTTGAGGAGGATATTTTACGTCGATCAATTTGAAGTTTCAACGACCTCCTACCCCTCCCCTCCCCCGACAACCGCCTGGTATCCCGTGGGCAACCTTTCGGACATTTGAACTTTGAAGATTGGCTCTTTAAAATTCCCCTCCCCCTTTCTGGGCCAAAATTGCGTTCAATGCCCCACCCAATATTGGATGATTCTTTAGCTTCTGTTGGGTTTTTTGCTTTTAAGTCTACGAAGTGAAAGTAGTATTTAAGGCCAGTTGCTTAAGAATGCATACTCCTCAACCTTCAAACACCTCCATCTAAAAACGTGTATTATCCTTTAAAAACTTGACTCTTCAGGTTCAAATGCCCCACCACACTCAAGAAACGTTGAAATTCCCTCCCCCGATCAAATGACCGTGGGTTGCCCAGGAGCGTGAAGAAGCTTGGAATTGCGCAGTGCATTAATTTGATTTCTTTATTCTGAAGATCGGCTGTCGAAAAAACCGTACGAAAGATGATCGGACCGAGCGTAACTCAATATTGTGACGAGACAGTTTGAACTTACGTGGAAAAGAATGAACTAGATAGAGCCCTCCCGCCGAATAGACACTACTTTCCTAAGATTACTCATAAACTTTTTTTAACCAGTTCAAGCAACTGCTTTAAGTGTCAATCGTGGGAGACAAAAGCCATCAGTCATTCTTTAGTGAGTTAAGTTAGAAAATACACGCTATTATCCTTTTCTTAAACGAAATAAAAATCCAGTTCGACACTTTGGCACCTTGTTTTAAGATTCATCAGTTATTATCATTTTCACTCTCGCCACGATTTCCTTGGCCACCTGCTTCGAAATTTTCTGAAATTAGAGAAGGAAAAAACAGTCATGATGGACAGGGCAGACATGCCTATGGTCTGGTTCTAGTCAGAGGATAGAAAGAGTAAGCAACCGTGCTCTAAATAGAATCAGGTAGATGAGAGAAACGCTAATTCAAACATATGAACAGCTGAATTTCTTCTACAAGCGTTAATCTTTCCTCGAACCAAAACGCTCGGCGATATCTTAGTAAAGAAAAACCTCAGCCTTGCAAAATTGCAAGGATTATCCCCAGACTTAAGGAATAGCTATAATAAGAGCAAAATTTTTGTCATGGTTAAAAAATTTGTAGAATTCTGCATAGTAAAGAACTTGCAGTTTCGTACCTTGGTGAATTCAACATTTGAGTTTGCTCTTCGTTGCAGCGAGAGCTACAACCCGGGACAAAACTGTTGAGACATTTCAATGCAATTTTTAATTTCCCGCCGTACAACGATCATTTCCAAAAGGAACAAACTTGCCCCCCTCCCCACCCCTGGTATAATGTTATTGGGGCTTAACAGCTCAAGGATGCATTTCTTGTGTTACTGCAAACAACATTGCAATAGGCGGGTTCATGCTGACGTCATTGTTTACATTTTTGCTCATTTGCATACGGCTTTGCGTAAAGAAGGAAGCATGTTAGATACAAATTGACTTCAGGCAGCTGAAGAGCTAGAAAACCTTAGTACATGGTGAAATTTTTAGCTCTTTGGGTTTAATATTCAAGGAGAAATAGTCCATCAAAAACTGCAAAATTTCTGGGTGGCAAAAGCGCTAATGAGCTCATACATTCTATGTAAAATTTTGAGTTTTTAAACCCGTGTTGCACAAAAAGTATTCAATGCATCAGGCTCGTATTCATTGGCCGAGTTAATCGTACTTTGACCTTTCGATATTCAGAGCTGATTTGTTTTTAGCTCCATCAGAAACTGAATTGCTTATGCTAATGAGACAAATATTGTAAACAAAGATTTCCCTATAGGGGAGGGGGAAAACTATGTTTGAATTTGCGACGGTAAGCATTTTTGTCGTCAGGGTGAGTGCAAAAAAATTGGTATCTTTGTAACGTGTCTCAACAGATTTTGTCCGACGTTGTAGCTTAATAACAAAAAGTCTTAGAAGGAATGAGTCTCATTAATATCCATTTTCCTATTTTAATTTAACAAGGTAGATTTTGTGAGAATTAACTATTTGAAATATTCAGAGAGTCGCGGGAAAGAACGGATACAATTGACAGGGAACAGCAACTGAACAAAAGAATGAGAAAACCATGAAAACAAGAGTGAATCATGGAAATTCGAATGGAAGATAAAAGAGATCGCAGTGGTTTAGTTCCCAGCTCAGTTTATATCAACATTTATCTCATTTTAAAGAATAAAATGAGTAAAGTCAGTAAAGAATAAAAATGAGTAAAGGATGTGCCACTGCAAGCTATGTTAACTTCTCAACATTTATTTATTATTCACACTACGTAGCATGAGTGAGGTACATGATTGAATCAAAGTGCGCTGATCAGTGTAAAATTAATGTAAGATTGTTTGAGTTCAAATCTGTATAAAACTACTTCTGATCAATCTAATCGGGTCACTAAACTTTTACAAATGCTTTATTCCCTCTAATCGCTGGAATATTAAGAAAAATTAGGATAAATTTTTGGAAATCGAAAAATGCATCAAAATGTCAAATGAAATATAGGAAAAACTTGCAGATACACGTCTCGTTTACGTTTAGGCGGCAGTCGTCGATAAAGTCCCCGGTCTTGTAAAAAGGTGTCTTTGAATCTATTACACTTGGATGTACCGATCTTAACATCTCAAATCGTAGTGGAATAAGGCCCCTCATCCTACTTCTCAGCTAGCTGCTTGAGGAAGCGGTGGTACTAGGCTCCTATCCCACCGTTGGTTCCAGAAACTAGAGGTGTAAACAACCCTATTTCGATGTCTAACACTCGCTGCTGATACTTCCGCTTTTTCTCATCCTCTTGCTCTTTAATTTTGAAGGTTGTGGACGCTTGCTTGCTCCGGTTTCACTTGGAATTAACATGCATTATTCTAACATCGAAAAACGCTGTAACTCCCCTTCACCGAAAACCCCTTGCCTTTATGTCTAGGTCCTCATCGATTATGCTAGCATAAGTTTTGGCATAATTTGGAAAAATGAGCATAATTTTGCACTTTTTTCGAAAGTAGCACTGCCAGCATAATCGGCATATTTTTAGTTTTTTGAAGGGAACATTAGCAGAGTCATGACTTGCTTGGTCTCTCTTAGATTGATTCTTTTCAAGTTCTGTCTATGGTTCAGTGTATTTTCATTCGTCTAGGTGAGGGAAAGAAGGTTACCGCAATACTGCGTCGTTGGCCTTTTAAAGGACTGGGCACACCAGAAGTAAAGATTGCGTCGGTCCCAATTCCCGCTTTCACGGAAGGTGCCCCTGGTTCATCCATCTTCAGCGGCTTCAGAGAAAGTTTTGAGCATACTCTCAGCTTCGTTCAATGAGCAGCAAGAGAGTGTACTGTCAGATTACTTACAAGCAAGTGTGATGCTGCAATATAACAAGCGCTAAGCTATATCAGAACACGTTAAATGTGATACTAACATAGTACATTTTGACACATTAAGTCTGGAATGAAGTTCAGTAGTTGGTTGTGCTTTATCAGAGTAAGCGTGTAACTCAAGATAAAGAAAATATGATGCTTAAATTATTAACAATAAATGTATAATTTGGATTTTTGGACTAGTTTTGTGTTTTTTATTTTTTAACATACATTAAGAAGAAGTAGCATAATTTAAAAAACGAGCATAATTTTGAGCATAATTTGGAAAAAAACGGGTATTGCTCGTAGCATAATATGCTACTTTTACTGAGTACAATCGACAAGGGCTTACGTCTAAAAACGTTTGATCATTTGCCGTAGAATCTCAAGGTTTTACAGATCTCTTTAAGAGGCGGTTACGCTGAAAGTGTGAAGAAAGAGCGACTAATTTTTCAGTCTAAAGGAACGTTACAGGAAATAACTAGCTCATCATATAGTGAATGGTTTCTTCTAGAGAAGAGAGGGTCAAGAGACGCGATCGATCACCGGCGCGGCTAGATGATAAATTAAAGATTTTCCGTAGCCAATTGGTAACGAAACGGAGACGTAATTACCTACGAAAAATGTATCTATGTCTTTCTGCTGTTCTTCTTGAAATTTCTCTATCCCGAACTTTCCTTAGAACCTCGTCGTAGATCACTGTTGTTCGTAAAGTTGACCATGAAGGCAACTCTGTTCACCATATTGTTCGTTAATTTAAAAGAAAACCACCAATCAGAACTCACGAAAGAATGGACGAAACTGTTATGCAATAAATATTCATAATATATTTTCATGCAAGAGAGTGACTTCGTATAACTTACGATTCGTGTAAGGTTTTCGTGGACGTTCCCTCCTTTATGTTTTTCCTTGAGGGGACGGCTACGCGTAAGCTAGAGCTAAATGTTTTGAGGCAACTTGATGCCACTCACTACCAAAACTCTGAGATTCACTATAAACTAGCTTCAAAACAAGACTCGCAATAGACTTGCCCTCGGATTTTTCCAACTTTTGGCATGAACCATTTCACGAAATTCCATACAGTGACACAACAGGCCTAGAGAAGAGTAACATAAAGTCATTACATTTGCCAAGTTTAGACGGATATGTTTAAAAGCAACGGACCTCTTTAAATTCGAAAAATGTTACAAGCGTTTCCACGTGGGGGGCACCACTTCAAATGGACGAGAAGAGTTTCCCCATTGTAGCAACTGCGACGAGAGTAAGCCATTGAAATTTTACTGTTCTGACTGCAACTGTTTCTTATGTGATACGTGTGCTATGTTTCACAAGAACTGGAAAAGTTTCAGCGATCATCGCATTAAAGAAGTGGGTAAGTTCGAGTCTAGCGACGCGCAAGATTTCGCTCGAAGGGCCAACTATTGCCTTGGTGAACAACACAATGAAGACGAGAAGAAAAAAAAGATCAAGTATTTCTGTGAAGAATGCTCCGTATGTGTTTGTCGTGACTGCGTCCTATTAGAGCATCGAGATCACGACTACATCTCAATTGAGAAAGGAATTGAAAAAAAGAAGGGTGAAATCGATGCTAAACTTCAAGAAGTTAAAAGAAACCGCTTATGTTTAAACACACACAAGACCTTGGTGGAAACACAAAGAGTGAAAGTAAACAACAGCATCGATCAGGCGACAAATGAAGTGCATAGGCTTGCCGAGCATTGCATAATGTTAATTCGCCAGCACGAATCAAGCGTGACGGAAAGGCTAGCGAGGGAGAGAGCAGCTGTTCAAGTTGCATTCGCCGAGAAACTGACCAGTTTAAATGAAAAGCTGGCGGAAATAGAGCGTGGATTGGCATTCTGTGAGGACGTCCTCGTCCGAAGAAATCTTCCAGAAATTTTGAATGTAAAAGCAATTGTTGAGCGGAGGCTCCAAGAACTTTCAATTCCTTTCGACTTTATGTCAGTGCTGGAATATACTGATGTTAGGTATCTCCCAAAGGACGTATCGCACTTGAAGGATGCACCCGGAAAGTTAGTATCTAGCACAACCGCGCCTTTTTTTGTCAGAAGCCCATGGCAGGGGTCTCACCGAAGGTGTCAAAGACGAGGATTGCAGTTTCACAGTCACCACAAAGAACTCACGAGGAACGACAACTTACAGCGAAATTGACAGTATGGAAGTTGAAATAAACTCAGTGTTGCCATCAAACATCGTCATCAAAACCACTGTAAGAGACGAGTTGGATGGTCATTATTCTGTCCACTACAGACCAACTAGCCCCGGTGAATTTACCGTTTCTGTCAAAGTTTCAGGGAACTTAATGAAAGGCAGTCCTTTCATGCTGACAGTGAGGAGCGAAAATAGGTCTAGAAGTAAGTAACTTGTGTACGGTTAGACGGTTATACTTCTCGGGATCTTTTTTCGCTAATTAATTAATTAATTAAGGGTAACAGACTTCAGCCTAGTTATATCATCGAGGCTGTCATATTTTTTTTAAGCTGTTTTCATTTTGATATACTTTGTCAAGAATTCTTGTTTTTAAGAAAACCATCATCAACCTATTTAACTTCATCAGTCGCATCTAGTAATTTGAAGTTTCAAATCAATTCAGAAATTGAATACTGAATGATGAACCGGTCGCGAGCTACAGCTGTAGGAATGGTTAAGGTCGATAAAACATTTTTAAAACCGCAGTTAGCAAGTGCATTGGGTCAGCATCGGTTTAAAATAGAAAGAAGTGTTTATATATTTTTTACAATTTCCGTTCTATTATGAGGACATTTTTTACATGTTTAAGTCACCTTTTTCGGTTTTAGAAGTGAATGAAGCTCTAGGTAGTTTCGATGGAATTCAGGATCATTACCACAAGGGAAGTTAAGGCGATGTAACGCTTATTTTTCGAAATTGAATTTAAAAGACAGTGAAGTCTATCACGAATTTGAAAATCAATGCATTCCTTAAGCTGTTCTACATCAATGGTCAGGTTAGGGTCGGTTTGTCTATTAAGCTAATAACTCTTACGAATTTCAATTCATTGATTTTTTGTTTTTAGAGAAAACGAGCCGAAACCTAACTATTCGGGGAAATTGCCCATTGTTGGTTCCTTTAGCTATACTAGAATGTCCTCGGGTGCATCGGGATCTTTGGTGGATGAAACGAGTTCTTCAAGCTTAACAAACAATTTGAGAGCTGTTAAACTGGACAAATGACCTACCTTTGTCTGTTGACTCAAAGATAGAAATGTTTGCCGATGACTCCACTGCCTACATCATTGGAAACTCTATTGACTCTATTTCAACCCAATTTCAAATTCTCTTGCATCAACTATTTACCTGGTCTAAATTAAACTCCATGTTCATCCATCCAGCCAAGTCTGAAGTCATGTTTATCTCAAAAATACCATTCATCGGCCCAATTAGACAAATCACTATAGACGATAAACCAATCAACTGTGTTTTCAGCTCATCTTGCTTAGGAGTCAAACTTGACAACAAGCTTAATTGGTCTCCTCATATTAAAATGGTGAACTCAAACTTCAATGCAAAGATTTCTAAGCTTAAACAGATGAGGACCTTCAACCGATCCACTCTGGATTCTATTTACTTCAAAGGTATTCTGCCAAGCGTAACTTATTGTATATCTTTGTGGGGATCTTCCAACTTGTTGGCCGACCTCGAGGATTCGCACATCCGTGCTGCCAGACTGATTCACAAGATCAGCACAAATATCCCAAAACATGAAGTTCTTAGCATAGCAAAATGGACATCTATACATTACATGTATAAGAGAAGACTTGCCTGTATTGCATACCAGGCCTTTCATAACCTAGCTCCTGATAACATAAACAGTTTATTTACAAAGCACCAGACTTCATACAATTTAAGAGATAATAATAATAATAATAACAATAATAAAGGTCTTTATTAAGAATTATTGTGCAAACAGACGTGCTACAATTAACAT